CACATGCACAGATACACAAACCTGCTGCAGAGAGCACATCAACCAAAGAATAAATAAACTTAATTAACTACAGTTGATATAATCTTTTGCATATTGCTCTGTTATCAGACAAATACAAGCCGTAACAAGCTGCGAGTCTAACAAACAGACTGGGAAACAAGATCAAAGATAAACCCACATGCTAGAATCTATCCCCGAGGCGAAACTGCTCATCTTCACAGCTTTGTAAAGCGCAAATCGCTTCCAATACTCTTCCACCTAAGTCACTGCCTCTTAAGTGCACATGCTGACCACTTAGGGCTACCACTTTATAAGCGCAGATCAATATCCAGCAGCTCGCATCAAGTAAACGAAACAGGGAGGGAACATCAATGCTGGAAAGATTTTCTGCACCAGGAGATTTTTTTGTCGCTGATGTCTCTGTTAGTACCTGGAAACAGGTTTTTGTGATTATGAACACATTTAACACGACTCTGGGAAACACGGCAACCAATACGGCACCAAGCAGCTATAAAGACGAATATCTGGATAACGTCCAGGATCAGCCTAGTGTTTGCCACACTTTGATGACTATGTGTGCTACATTCTGGGATTTAGGGCACAACACACCCACCACAGAACTCCAGTGGGCCCGCTAGTGACATTATTAGAACAGCATTGTAGGTCGGTCTGCGAGAAGCTCTTTGGGTAAACACTTTCCCCTCCAGAGATAAGAAGCCCAGACGATAGGTGCTAATCATCTTTAAAAATTCACACAGGAGGTGTGGTGTTGTCATCGCTGTCATTAGTGAGGGACCTGACAGGAATTCTAACATGGTTTAATAAGCCTAACACTCTCATTTAAGTGCTAGGTTTGAGGATTCGGGTCATCTTTATTGCTAAAGTATGTTGAAATGCTGCTTATCACAACAGCAAAAATACCACCAGCTGCCAGTGCGACTACTCAGCCTCGTAGCAGATGCACCTATGATATCAACCTGAAAATCCCACGTCACTTTGTTCTCGACTTATCGTGTTCTTAAAGTTTGGCATTGACGTCGCCCACCCAATTAAACTGGTGCAAAAGGACAAAAAGGAAAGGCATGTACATGTATGTCAGGCACAACTGACAGTGACTGAGCACATCTATAAACTGTTGAGTGGCCTAAATGGTATTCATATTACAAAAGCATAGAAGCAGAAAATCAAAGGGGCTTTGTTGCTCAACAGAGCATCTCACTTGATTCATGCTCGAAATCAAAGCATCTCTCCTACCAGTCAAACTGGCATGTGCTTTATATCTTTCAGTCTGCTGTATTGAAGCACTGGGTATAATTAAGAGCAGAAAAACACACAAGAAGCACCTGAGTGGGAGGGCTGTGCAGGTGGCTGTGCTGAGGTGTGTTTATGTTTTTTTTTGGGAACAAAATCTTCGGCTTAAATAAAGTATCTTCCTCATTCTATCCTTGTAGGAGTCCCTCTCTCACCGGATAACACGTCAACCCTCCGTGAGCAGCTGTCACACGGTCCAGTAAGCATGAAAGTTAAATCATAGACCATTGTTTGTCTCTGTCACCGGAGCTCAAATCAACGCAACACGTTGAAAACTCTGAAGCTGTCATCGTGTTAAAAAAAAAAAAAAAAATCCAGTGTGGAAAAATTTATTGTGCGTGACTCAGTTTCACAAAACCCCTGCGAGTTATGCATGCTCGACTTCTGCTGAAGGAACTCATGCAAGAGGTTTTTTATCCACGCATACGACTGAATGCTACAGCTAAAGTTGAAAAAATGGCCTTCGGTAACATTTTACTAAAAGATAACCTTAAAATTTACCTGTTCTGGAAAGTGTTGAGCCCAGCAGGGACACACTGGACCCTCCACTGTCCATTCTGGTCTGGGTAAAGGACAAACTTAATGGGCGTCTCCACGTGGAGATCCTTCTCTAAGGCAAACAAATGCTCCTTCCAAGGACATCCACCCTGGGAAAAAAGGAGTACCTCTCCACTGGGATCTATCTGGAAACAAGAATAGAGCAGGTGTAACACATGTGACTAATGTGCAAAAACCAAGGACAGACACAAAAGCCTGTGTCTGTGGAAAGCGTCACTGTATAAGAAAAGCAGCAGCATTTTAAACTCATTTTCACAGTAACTTGTGCTTCTTTTATAAGTGATAAATGTCTCCTTCAACTAAACAACAACAGTCCTGATACTCTCATCGTTTTTGATAACATTTACAGTTTTCAAAACAAGACAGAAAATGCTCAGAATCAGAATTTAATAAAAAGCAATTAAAGAAATTAAATTAGATCTAAGAAACTTTTTTATTCACAGATTTTTATTAAAAATACTCAAACATGAAATTCTGCAGTGAGTTTCTCATCTTGGGCTAACAGATCAGGTGTCCTGCATCTGCTTTTTCTTTTTTGTCTGGTCTGTGTTTAGATATTTTTTGCTGTTAAGCTTCATTTGTTTCCATATGAACCTCAAAGTCATATTTATTTAGTTTATTTAAACCACAGTCGGTGTGTCAGGGAAAACAAGAGTCCCCACTAGGGCTGCTCGATTATGGCAAAAATGATAATCACGATTATTTTCACTGAAATTGAGATCTCGATTATTTGAC